AAAACTGCATATGCTTGTGTCTTGCATCTGTCGAGAAGCAAAAAACATACATTGTTTTTGTAGGGGATTTTTTTTTCTTACCATGCCATCTAAAATTTCAATTTGACAAGGGGTGATTTGCCCTATTTCATTTTCCCCACATGCTACAAAATGTGAGAAATCCAGCTTTTCCAAGGGACAGATGCACAAACAACCGGAAACCAAGAAATCTACCGTTATAAATAGAAGGGGAATGGAAACAAGACTAGAGATGGGAAGGCTTGGAAGAAAACTGGGAAAATGGGGGAGAGGATTACAGGGAAAAGGCAGAAAAATTGGGAGAAAATTGAAAAACAGAAAACAGCTGTTTTTTCTCAGTTTTCCTATGCTTTTTTCCAGGCCTTCTGTTCTGTCGCGCACTGGGCTTGAAACGAATTGCTTTTAAAACAGGACGTGCAACTTTAGCCCAGCGGGAAGCCAGGGGGCCTGAAGAGAAATTCTTAAGGATTTTCACCATAAACAGTATTTAGAGGGCTTGTGAAATATTACGAAGTCTTTATTGGTAAACAATCAACAGAAACTTCTTTTGTCTTCAAAAGGTTAAACAAATGCTTCCAGGCTTTTGTGCAACTGGTGGCTTCTAACTGTTGCTTTTACTCTAAAGGAAAATCCCTTTCCAAACTTCTCCCAGGCTAACTGTGAGCCTAAACTTAACTAACGTGGGCTCCACTACCGGGTTGAACTGCATCTCAAAGCACCGAGTGGACCTACCAGTAGGCCTGTAGTCACTTCAGCTGGAGTTCTTAGATGTTCAAAGCTGTTTTTCCCTCCAAAATTCCTCAGAGCTTTAGGGCTGTTTCCCTGGGAGTCTTTGGGAATCCTTTTGCTCTTAAGACTGTTCTCCCCCAGGAAATCTTAAGGGTTGAAGCCTTTGTACAGAAGAAAGTCTGTACATGTCCTGTACATTGACTTTCCTTGCTGAGACTGACTGAAAATGACTCCTTTCCCTTCTCAATTGTCCTGAACAGGGGGCGGAACCATACTTAACTATGATGGACAGGGGGCCTGCCCTATAACTTCAAACTTTAACAGGAAGCCACCCTTCTGCAGAATCCCAAACCTTCGACTGCAAGCAAACACTTAATACAGGGAAAATAAAGTGGGAGCTTCTGGTACAGCTGTACCAGCACATCTTCCCATCTCTAAACAAGACTGTTCTTTAGTCTGTTTGAACATTGGTTTCATTGGATTACCCTGTCAAGACTATCAACTGTTACAATATTTACTTACTTAGGCGATCCCTCGTAGTCCGAGGATGATGGTCCTCCAAGTTCGGTGTCCTGGCGGAGGGTTTGTAGGTGACTGTGGAGCCCTATTCTCAATCTGCATCTTCTTCCGCAGTGAGGGCATTGGTTTCCAGGTGGAAGGCGGTCTCGGACGGGGTTGGCTTGACGCACCTTCCTCTTGACACGTTTCTCTCTTTCACCCTCCTTTCGTGCCTCTACAAATTCTGCAGCACTGCTGGTCCTAGCTAACCTCCAGCTGGAGTGCTCAAGGGCCAGGGCTTCCCAGTTCTCAGCATCTATGCCATAGTTTTTAAGGTTGGCTTTGAGCCCATCTTTAAATCTGTTACAATATGCTGTAGCCGAAAGAAATTGGAAGAATTCCCACTCCAGTTTCAAAGATTTTTTTCTCCTTTTATTTGTTCCATTTAGATATTTAAATGCTTATATTTGTTAAATGCCTGTTTTCTTTTCCACACCTTATTTTCCATTCATGTTGTGTCTTTCCAGTTGTGTGTCTGTCCTCTTTCCCAGATTGCTGCCATCTTCCATGGCTCAACATTTAGAACTATGCTAGGCTGAACCATTTCATCTGGTTTACTTTTTTTCTCACATCTCCATGCTACTCAGATGAAAGATCCCTATTCACCTTTTAAACATAATAAATCAAGTAAACATGCAGATATAGTTCCACAACATTGCTGCTTTCTTTGGGATGTAACTTGATATCTGTGTGAGACCTCTTGTCCAGTCTTACAAATGGGGCCATGCAGATATCAATGTTTTGATATCAGACCAGACTTTCCCTCTCTCCCTGACCCCATCACCTTTGTTTTTGACCCATTTTGCATAAGAAAAAATACTAGAGATCTTGAGAATCTACCTACAATATTGTGCATATTTGGTCACTCCCAATAACTGTATTGACTAACTGGATTTCAGAATGTTTCTAAAGTCATCTCAAAGTATCTTGACAACCTTTGTGTAACCGTGTGCAAGGAAAAGCTAACTCATTGTTGAAGGCTTTCATGTCCGGAACCACTGGGTTGCTGTAAGTTTTTTTGGGCTGTGTGGCCATGTTCCAGAAGAATTCCCTCCTGATGTTTCGCATGCATCTATGGCAGGCATCCTCAGAGGTTGTGATCTCACAACCTCTGAGGATACCTGCCATAGATGCAGGTGAAATGTCAGGAGAGAATGCTTCTAGAACATGGTCACAAACTCCGAAAAACTTGCAGCAACCCAAAAACAAACTTGGGTAATAGTATGATAGCTGGGTCCAGAAGATCCGAGCATTATGGAAATGCCGCATCGCTCCTTCGGGAGCGCTGTTTGTGCAAGAGAGACTTAGCTACTGTAAGCCAGGCTGGAGACAGATAATATAGAAGTAATGTAAGAGTTTTTTAATGGTGAAACACTAATCCTTACCCTAACCCTGAACCGTACCATAACCCTAAGCCTAACCCCTTACCCAAACCCTTACCCTAACCCAAACCCTAAACCTTACTCTAACCCTTTCCCTTACCCTAACTCTGAACTGTACTGTAACCCTAAGCCTAACCGCTTACCCAAACCCTTACCCTAACCCAAACCCTAAACATTACTCTAACCCTTACCCTAACTCTGAACTGTACTGTAAGCCTAAGATTAACCCCTTACCCAAACCCTTACCCTAACCCAAACCCTAAACATTACTCTAACCCTTACCCTAACTCTGAACTGTACTGTAAGCCTAAGATTAACCCCTTACCCAAACCCTTACCCTAACCCAAACCCTAAACATTACTCTAACCCTTACCCTAACTCTGAACTGTACTGTAAGCCTAAGATTAACCCCTTACCCAAACCCTTACCCTAACCCAAACCCTAAACCTTACTTTAACCCTTACCCTAACCCTGAACCATACTGTAAGCCTAAGCCTAACTTCTTACCTTACTTTAACCCTTACCCTAACCCAAACCCTTAACCTTACTCTAACCCTGAACTGTACCATAAGTCTAAACCTAACCCTTTACCCTAACCCTTACCCTAACCCTTACCCTAACCCTAACCCTAACCCAAACCCTAATCCTTACTGTGCTGGTACGGCTGTACCAGGAGCTCCAACTTTATTTGCTTTGTATCGAGTGTTTGCTTGCAGTCCAGGGTTTCAGACGTTCTGCAGAAAGGTGGCTTCCTTTGGTTGCAGTCATAGGGCAAGTCACCTGTCCATCATCATTAAGTTTTGGTTCCGCCCCTTGTTCAAGGCAATTGGGAAGGGAAGGGAGCCATTTTTAGTTAGTCTTAGTAAAGAAAGCTAATTTAGAGGACGTGTACAAGCTTCTCCTGTACGGAGAACAGTCTTAAGAGCATCCAAAGATTTCCAGGGAAACAGCCCTAAAGCTTTGAGGAATTTCGGAGGGTAAACAGTTTGGAAGACCAAAGAACTCCAGCTGGAGAATCTACTGGCCTTACTGGTAGGTCCACTCGGTGCTCAAGCAGTTCGACCCGGTAGCGGAGCCCACATCAGTAAGGCTTAGATTACAGTCAGCCTGGGAGAAGTTAAAAAGAGATTTTCCTTTAAAGTAAAGAAACAGTTATTGAAGACAATTGCCTGTCCCTCGTGGACATGATTAGGAAGCCACCAGTTGCATAAAAGCCTGGAAGCATTTGTTTAACTTTATTGAAGACAAGAGAAGTTTCTGTTTGATTGTTCATTAATAAAGGACTTTGTTATACTTCACAAGCCATCTAAAGACCATTTGTGGTGGAAAATCCTTGAGAACTTCTCTTCGAGGCCCCCTGGCTTCCCGCTGGGCTCAAGTTGCATGTCCTATTTTAAAGGCAATTCTTTACAGGCCCAGTGTGTGACAGAACACTTACTCTAACCCTTACCCTTACCTAACCCTGAGCCTAATCCCTTACCCAAACCCTTACCCTAACCCAAACCCTAAACCTTACTCTAACCCTTACCCTAACTCTGAACCGTACCGTAAGCCTAAGCCTAAACCCTTACCCAAACTCTAAACCTTACTCTAACCCTGAACCGTACCGTAAGCCTAAGCCTAACCCCTTACCCAAACCCTTACCCTTACCCTAACCCTAAACCATACCCTAACGTAACCCCTAACCCTTACCCTCTGTAACCCTAACCCTTGCCCTAACCCTTACCCTAAGTGTCCCCCCTTTCTATCCTTCCTTCACTCTCCCCACTCTTACTCCGCCCCCTCTCTTCTCTTATTCACAACCGCCATTGTGGCATCTCCGTAATGCTTGGAGCTTCTGGGCCCAGCTATCATACTATCACCCAAACTTGTTTGGCAGAATCAGTTTTCAGAAGAATGTACAGAAGTTCATCACAATTTGTTCACCTCCCCATTTATAATGCATTTGGAAAGATCTCGGATCTATTTTTTGGAAGGGAATGGAGCCAGTGGGCCTCTCGATAATGTCGGGCCACAGATGTTCTTTCTGCATAATGGCTTGGTTGCTTGGCTAGCAAGACCAGAACAAACCACTCATTATACACATTTGGTGGCAGAGGTCAGGCTGGAAGAAGGAGATGCCTTGATTTGCCAGAAATGAAATTGCTCAACTAAACTAATCAAGGGTGGGTTAATGAGAAATCTGGAAAATTATTGTTTAAACAGCTTCAATAGTTACAATTTACAGTAAATGTCTTGTAGCTTAGAAGGACTGCATATTTTGAACGAATAATAATGGAGCCGTATATTGTTTCCTTGTCATTATCTTCTCAGCTCTCCGGAGAAGTCCTGTTTCAAAAAGGAATTGTCATGGATGATTGTGCAGTGAATAAGGTAGGAATTCATTATCGCTAAGGCATTCTTCTTATTGTTATTCCTTATTATTTCATATTGGTGAAGGCCACCTGAGGGTCATGTGGGAATGACCTTGCATTTTCCTGGAGGGCTTATTCCTTCTTTTGCACTAGTAAATATCCGTAACAGAGAACATAACCATGATTATCCTAAAATAACAAGAGGTGACAAACTGACAGCATCTCTTGTTTAGTTACATGAACTAGTTCTCTTGAGAGTTATTTGTGCTCACATTGCCAGTTTTCAGACACATATCCATGTGTCTTCTCCACTGTAACTAAACTAATAAGAGAATAACTGATTGTGTCCTGGTTCAAAGTAATTTCATACATTAATATTCCATCTTGATGCTGAATTGGATTATATGGCAGTGTAGACACTAGGCTTGGGCGGTTTCGTTCGTTAATTTCGTAATTCGTTATTAATTCGTATTTAAATTAGTTTACGATCCAATATTGAGCCATGCAGGCCTACTTTGAGGAGTAATTAAAAATCGAAACAATTTTTCCAATTTATTTCGTATTGTTTCGTAATTGTTTCGTAATTGGTTCAAAATTGTTTCGAAATTGTTTCGAAATTGTTTCGTAATTATTTCCGTATGTCTGGTGCAAGTTTTATAGTTGTTGTTTGTTTTATCAGTGATAAAAAAATAAATTATCACACCAACAGTCAACAACAGAGGGAGAGGGAAGCTTCAGAAGTTCCCCCTGTCCCATTTGGAGGGTTTTTTAGCATATTGCACAATCGCGTCCGCCATTAATGAATCGATTCGTAATTTTACGAAATTTTGTATATTTCGAACTTTTTTAAAGGAAAATTTCGGAATTCTTTAAAAAAAACGAAATGCAAGGGCCCCCCTAAAAACGAAACGAGTTTAGAACCAAATTTTTCCATGGTTACCCAAGCCTAGTAGACACATATAATCCAGTTCAAATCAGATAATCTGGATTCAAAAATTGGATAATGTGGCAGTGTAGTTAGCCATAGATATTTCACAAGTTAAGATTAATATGATCGTCAACATATGGCCTAAGTCCTTCTCAACACTCAAGAAGCCTTTCATGAACATTGTTTGGACTTTGGTAGTCCATGCTCTTGTTACATCCCATATATATTACCGCAACACACTCTATGTGGGCCTGCCTTTGAAGACTGGGAAAAATACTTGTATTTTGACTGCTGAATTTTGAAGATTGTATGTTTCTATGTATATGTCTGTGTATGTATTTGTGTGTGTGTGTGTGTGTATATATATTTATATATATTAGGCTTGGCAGATCCAAAAAAAGGTTCAAAACTCGTTTTGGATGTAGGGGGCGCTGGCGATTCGATTTTGAAATGATTTCCGAAATTTTAATAAAAAAAGATAGGAAATATCAGGAAATCCGAATTGCTTCATTTGCTTCGTTAATGGAAGGCGCCCCTCCCTCCAGAACCATTTAGCAATTTTGGCAAAGCCTAACAAACGGTTTTAAAATCTTGCTGTTTCCCTTCTTTCCCTGGCGGTGAGCTGTGATGCAGACTGATGAGGTGGGCGTGGCTAAGCACAGCTCTTCCTGAAGGCCACTGGGGGTGTGGCCTTCAAGAAGAGCTATATTAGGCTTGGGTAACCACGGAAAAATTTGGTTCTAAACTTGTTTCGTTTTTAGGGGGGCCCTTGTGTTTCGTTTTTTTAAAGAATTCCGAAATTTTCCTTTAAAAAATTTCGAAATATACGAAATTTCGTAAAATTACGAATCGATTCGTTAATGGCGGACGCGATTGCGCAATATGCTAAAAAACCCTCCAAATGGGACAGGGGGAACTTCTGAAGCTTCCCTCTCCCTCTGTTGTTGACTGTTGGTGTGATAATTTATTTTTTATCACTGTTAAAACAAACAACAACTATAAAACTTGCACCAGACATACGGAAATAATTACAAAACAATTACGAAACAATTTCGAAACAATTTTGAACCAATTACGAAACAATTACGAAACAATACGAAATAAATTGGAAAAATTGTTTCGATTTTTAATTACTCCTCACAGTAGTCCTGCATGGCTCAATATTGGATCGTAAGCTAATTTAAATACGAATTAATAACGAATTACGAAATTAACGAACGAAACCGCCCAAGCCTTATATATATATATATATATATATATATATATATATATATATATAAGGCTTGGGCGGTTTTATATATATATTAGGGCTGGGCGGTTTCCTTTCGTTAATTCGTAATTCGTTAATAATTCGTTAATTTTTTAAATTACAAAACGATAACGAACCATTCTGGAGCAATTTTTTTAAAAAAACGAATTTTTAAACACGTTTTGTAAATGCTTCGTATTTCGTTATTGTATTCGTTTCGTTATTGTTCTGAGGTCGTTTCGTTATTATTTCCGCATGTCTGGGGCAAGTTTTTTGTTTAATTAGTGAAAAAAAATATAATATCACACCAACAGTCAACAACAGAGGGAGAGGGAAGCTTCAGAAGGTTTTGGAGGTTTTTTAGCGTATTTCGCGGTCGCGTCCGCCATTAACGAATCGATTCGTTATTGTTTCGGAAATCGATTCGTTAATGTTTTGTAATTTTTTTCACATTTACGAAATTTCGTAAATATCGAACTTTTTAAAAGGAAAATTTTGTAATTATTTTAAATAACGAAACACAAAACCCCAAAAAAACGAATCGATTTTAGAAACAAATTTTTCCGTTGTTACCCAGGCCAAATATATATATATATATATATATATATATATATATATATATATTGTAAAAGCAATTAAAAATGTAAGCTACCTTGAGTCCCCTTTGGGATAGAGAAAGGCAAGATATAAATAGGGCAAATACATACACATACATATATAAATTCAGAAACTGGAACTCTATAATGAAGAAGCAAGATCCTGGGATTTAATATTTGTTTTTTAATATGTCTGGTCGATTATTAGGGGTGGTGATCTTATTAGGAATGGAATGAAGTAGCATGCTCCATACTGTGTATTCCAGCATTAGAAATCTTACATATTTCTTCAGGTTCTGTTGTTCCAATGATGAAACCAGTGAAAGCTCTGGAATGAGGTTTATTCTAGCCTGGAGTGCAAAGGAATTCAGTGGCTTCATCATTCTCACCCCAATTACCCTTTGCACTCTTTTGAGGACTTCTTACGAGTCAGAATGCACCTTGCCCCATTAATCTGCACATTTGCAAAGCTTTCAGTGAATCCTACAGAAAGGGAATACATGCAAAGCCTGGCATGTCCTTTTCAATTGTGAAGAACTAAAATGCTCGCAGTTGAAAAATTTACAAAACATGCTTTGGCCAGTGGGGGAAATACATGCAAACAATGTGGTCTTCAAAGAGTGTTGGTAAACACACACATTATGGAAGAGGTATAGGGAAATGTGTACTAATGCAGAATGGGGGGAAAAAACAGTTTTAGACTGATGTAACATGACATGGAAATAGAATATGGAGAAATATAGTAACAGGATGTCATGAATGACTTTTCAATAACTTTGAAGCATGTTCTTTTTATTGCAATTTCCAGTGTGGGAGAGTACATCAGACTACAGAAAAACATTTAGACAAAGAATGACATTGAACATACAGATTCTATGCAACTACATTGTATTCACAAACATTGGTTAACAAACAAAAAAAGGGGGAATTATATTTTCACTCAACATTCACACACATGTCCATCCTCATGCACCCAAATATTCTCCCTCCTTGGAGAAGCACCTGTTAGGCCAGACCCTGCTTTCCTTCAGCCTGTCAATGCATAGTTCCATAACGCCAAAACTTCAAAACGCCAAAATGCCAAAAATTCTTTCCCTAAGAACTAGGGCTGGGTAACCACGGAAAAATTTGTTTTTAAACACGATTCGTTTCCAGGGAGCACTAGTGTTTCCAAATTCTAAATACTTCCGAAATTTTGAGATTTCAAAGTTTCGTTATTTACGAAATTTCATTAATTTCGAATCGATTCGTTAATGGCGGACACGATTGCGCAATATGCTAAAAAAAAAACCTCCAAATGGGACAGGGGGAACTTCTGAAGCTTCCCTCTCCCTCTGTTATTGACTGTTGGTGTGATAAAACAAACAACAACTATAAAACTTGCACCAGACATGCGAAAATAATTACGAAATAATTACGAAATAATTACGAAAAAATTACGAAATAAATTGAAAAAATTGTTTCGAATCTAATTTACTCCTCACACTATTCCTGCATGGCTCAATATAGGATCGTAAGCTAATTTAAATACGAATTAATAAAGAATTATGAAATTAATGAACGAAACCGCCCAGCCCTACTAAGAACAATGTTAAGGACCAGATAGCTGTTTTCCATACAGCAGAATCTGACTACCTGCACAAAACCTAATACCCCAAAAGCGCACTTCTTCCTCTTCCCTTGAGAAAGAAGCCCCAAAGGGACCAGATTGCTCCCGTGCAAATCTGCCACTATCCATAGTACGCTATCTCTCTCCTTCCCATGGAGCAGAGCATAGCGGGTGAACCAGACTCCTCAGGTCGGTCACGCTTTGAGCATTATTAGACTGAGTCTTTTATAAGAATATTCTGCAGAGCATGGCACATGGATATTGCACCTCAGAATAGATTCACCTTGCTGAAATCACCAGAACTGCACACAGACTGTAGTCTATGTAGTTTATTAAAAAGTGAAAGATGAAAAGTTTAAAAAGCAAATCGTGTTCCAAAGATCAATAAAACTGTAAAGCACTGTAAAGCAGAATTCCAAATGGCACCAATGAAACAAAGTCCCTTGAGAACATGTCAAAATCCCAAGACTATGGACACAGGAAAACGAGAAAAAGCTGCTTGGTTGAGTGAGAAATTGCTCTGACAAAGGTTTGTTTTCAAACACACTGCTTAATTTATTTATTTACAGCTTTTCTATTCCGCCCTTCTCACCCCGCAGGGGACTCAGGGCGGATTACAGTGTACACATATATGGCA